AATACCTTATATTAACAAAGTACTCTAACACCTAGCTCAAATGGGACTGTGTTCTAAAAGGTAATCATCTTAATTATTCAACATATTCACACTACACAATGTGGAAAATAAAGGAAAGACAATCATTCTTTGTTTTCTACTTCATTTTCTAAGCCTGCTTCCTGGCTAATTCAATCTATTGGATCAGTGGGATGGACATGGGATAGATTAAAAAAACTTTGACTGTCAGATCACCAAGGGATTTGAAATAATGTTCTTCTGCACAGAATGGAAGCATATGGGCCACAGAGTGCAGCTCTCCTTGGAAAATTACTGTCAAAACAGTACCGTCTCTATTAACACAGCTGCTGACTTGTGAGGCAGGAATCAGGTTTTACTCGAGTTAACCTTCGAAAAGCAGCGTCAGAGTGACTGCTCACTACTGCCCACATGCTCCACCACCAGCACTGCCTATCAACAGCTTACGTAAGTCACACCCGTACAGCTCCACAAGTGCTACTGTAGGACCTAACGTCCTACACACCCGCTTGTGCTAATGTCAAGGAAGCAAAGTCATGTTCATCCAGTCTGACAATTGCTATCAAGATGCCATTCTCCTCCTGTAAAAAGGGGAAAGCACACTTGATAGAATATAAGTACTTCATATAAGTACTGTAGGTTTCACAGTATGGTCTTACTTCTCAATTTGCCTACATTTCAGCTTACTTCCAAGGCTGAAGTTCTGTCTTCATTCAGATACAGACATTTCCTTTAGATACTTCTTCCACAGATTTTCTAGCTCATTTCCCCATCAATTTCTACAAGATAGTGAGGATCTCTTATCTGTCATGTCTTTACGTGCAAGCTATGAAATCTTTTATCTGAAGAGAATGTTAAAGGCTCAACGTTAAGCTCTAAGAGACTGAAGCTAAAGCTCTATCTATGCATTAAGTAAGATTGCCTCCCATAAGCAACCCGTTGTTTCTGCAGAAGCCCATGCCAGCAAGAAGTCACGAGGAATCCTGCTGAAACCAGGTACTGCTGACTTACACCGTTAAAAACTGACAAATGTTGGTCTCCTTTGTATGTACCGGACAGCATCCAGTGAAAAAGAGACTTAAAAGTTATTAAAAAATACATGGATTGCATGGATTTATTACATTAATTTATTACGGACCTTACAGAAAAATAATGCAATTTAAAAAAAAAACAAACAAACAAACAATGGTACTGCTTCATTGAGACATTGTTAACTTTCTGATACTTTTACTAATACTAAGTAGTTCTCATTCATCATGCATAAAGACTGAAGCAAGGCTCCTACACGAATAATGTGACCAGTGCAGGCTGTTGAAATGAAGAACATCAGGATACTGGTGGAACGTGCACCTTCAAATATAGTCAGAATTAGCTGGTTCTTGAATGTGTCTATTACAACTCAAGATCCCTGCTGCATATGCTTTCAGTTTCCATATGCATCAAAATTTATGTGATTCAGAGTCACTAGAGATTTTGACTACTGAATATAAGAAACAAATATAAGAAACCTGTTTTATAGAGGGCAGCTCCAAAAAATCACGTCGTTCAAAGAAGTCTTGACTGGGACTTTTCTTTTTGCTTCTGTACATGCAGGTAAACGTTTAGGTTTGTGTGTATGGTGCACATAAATATGCGCTTAAGCAAGGAAGTTGCACGAGCGGTTGGTTTTCAGTCTGAGTAAAGGGTTTGTCCTAAATTGGATAATCCTATTCCATACCAGTGCAATCGGTAGGATATGCATTCTGCAGATGTCTTTGGGAAATATACTTTTTGAGCTCCATGGGTTCACTACGTATTTCTGCAGCCCTTTTAAAATAGATGCCTCATTATTCTCAGCTAAAAAAAGGAAGCAATTTGCTCTTAATTTACTGTCTTTTAACATTTGCTTTCTCTACAAAACCCTAGGAAAAATGCTGGAGTCTCCCGAAGGTGTTAAATATAGAAGTTTCAGGGTTTTTTTTGAAAAAGAGAACTGATGAGCTCAGTTTAGAGCACGTAATTGCTGCCTTTACTATTACAGGACTCAATACAATGCTAAGAACACACAGGGCAGTTACTTAATAAGAACGAAGTACATGGTTATTGTGTCAGAGATGGTAATTTAGCATGCTCATGCTAAAACTTATGGAAACATTTATTATTATATTTTTGCTTACCTCGTTATTTGAGTAATTCCATTTATAAATTCTACAGCAAATCATTGTTAAATGCTGAAGCTTTGACTGAAGTCACCTGTGAATCCAGCTATGAGCCTTTGGACTGTAGGCTACTGTGTAAAAAACACGGCAAAAATTTTTTTTGTCTTGGTACTTCTTCTCTTCACTTTGTCTTTCACATCTTGCACTTTGCACTTCAGGGCTGGTTTCAGTACAATGTGAAAAATGTGTGCAAATGAGACACATTTCACTGGGCACCTCAACATTTTGAAAAAAAAAAAAAAAAAAAACAAAACCAAAAAACAGACAGCATTACAATTTTGCAACCCATAGTAGGGAATGAAAGCTAGCATACAGACACTTCAGCTCCTGGTTACCAGAAGATAAATGGACATAAAATTATTAAGCAAAGGAATTTGAACACCATCAAATGCAGTAAATGTTCCATAGGAAATGAATTAGGTGAACTTTAAGGGCATTATAATTAATCACCATGACTCGTTCACGAATTATAACTTGTTCTGCACTCAGCTACAATTATTTTGATTTAATGCTTTTTATCAGTGAATAAAGTTATTCAATTCCATTTAACTATCAAAAGCAATTTGCAAGATCTAAACTCTCAAATATCTCTCCTGTTCGTCTCAGTTCATTTCTCCCATCCAGCTTTTTATGAGTCACTGAATTATTTCTAAATCCCAAACACATTCGGGTGACTAGCTTACTTACCAAACACCTGTAAGAAGAGGGACTTGTACTGGTTTATTGAATTGATGACTGTAAATCTAAGTTTGTATGAAAGCCTTTTTATAACTTATTTATGCATGACTTTCTCAAATCATTGCTGAAGGGCTGGTAATGACCTGCAAAGGGAAGGTACTCTTCAGTCGTTGTCTTCTGAAGGCCTCAAAATGATTTAGCTATTAATGAATCAAGAATGTATTTGTCATAAGGAAATAATTAATTCTTACCTAAAAAACATTATATTTCTGTCATGAACACAGAAATTCAAAATGCCATATTTTTTTAAAAAGGTTTTTAAAACTGGAAATGCCTTTTGGCTTTCATTTTCTTTCTCTGCCAATAAGAGGGAAAAAATAGGGGAGTGGAAAGGTCTGGAAGCAGCGTAATTAGGTCTGCTCAAGAGATACGAAACATTACTTAGAGGGAAGAAAACATGCTATTTGCAACAGAAAAATGTTTAACAGAAAATCAGTTGCAAGGGAAAATGAGCTATTGTCTTGGGATGGGGTGAACAGAGGTACTGGCACAGAACAGGCTCTTCAGTCTTCTGGTGAAACACTAGCTGGGCATGTCAAGCTCTACCTTGGAAAATAAAACCACACAGGACAATTTATCTTCACACACTCATAGCACATACAAAATGTATTGGTGATTACTATAAAACTAAACTGTGTGAAAGTAGCTTGTGCCACCAGTCTTTTGACTGATTTGTGCAAGAGGTAGAGAAGCTGGTGCCAGGAGTCTTTCCTCCTTCATCCGAGGGGGAGGAAATCAGTGCCACATCTGCGAGACCTGCCTGAAAAAACAAGACGGTTTGTCAAAAGAGTATCCGTTGCCTCATCCAATTTCTGGATTTACAAATGAGGCTGGCAGGATCTTCACAATGTGAAGGTGAGCATGAGTGCAGGTCGGCAGGAGAAACCAGAATGCTTTCCAGCGGGGAAGCAGAACCACCCTCCACCGCTCCGAGCAGGGAGATTATCCTTGCTCCTAACACAGCTTCCCAACGGCTGAGCCGGGCCATAGCGGCGTAAGGACGTTGACACACCTCCCAGTAACACGCCCGCTGGCTCTGGGGCTTCCTCTCCTTTCACGCAACCACCTCAATGGGGCCGATAAGCATTGAGAAAAAAATCACACATCAAAACACCGCCGCTCGGCCTCACGAAGTAGAACTACAACCCGGAAAGAAAACCCTGCAGGTAAGAAAGCCCCGAGCTCCTGCGGTCCTGGGGAAGAGGGCTGCCTCGGGAGACCGCAGGATTCAGAGCAGCAGCACAGCAAGCACAACCCTGGAAGGCAAATGCGCTCGGCCGCATCCTTCCCCACTGACAGCACGGGGAACCCCACCGAGCGGCTGAAGTTATCTTGCCTTGAAGCTCTGCTCTGTGTTACACACTAAGGGTTTCACTTTCCCGTAGGATGTAAAAAAAAGCTGAGGCAAATGTGAGAATTCTTATATTTGGCATATGCCTATTTAAAGTCAAGATTTTATTAAAAAATGCATCGCCGGTTTCCACCTCTGTCAAGGGCTGTGGACACCAGACTTCTCATAGGATGTTCTTGGGAGTATTGACTCTGAAATGCCTCTGAACTTCTCTCACTACCACCTGACACTCAATTCCACATCTCCTCAGTCTCAACTGGGAATAAATACGTTTTGACAGGTTGTACAACTTCCAATTTTAAAACTTCCCTTTTCTTATAGCAACTGCTCTACTCCCCCAACTCCTGTCACTTTCTTTTTAATAGCAGTGATACCGAACTACTGAGAAACTACACTTCCAATTACCTTTTGGGATAAACTCTAGTGCTTTTGGGACACAGGTGCCATTCTAGCTGTATTTTGACTCTTTGCATTTGCTACTGTTAACATTCACAATAACTGTTAATTAACTGCTGTTCAAAGCAGCAGACTCTTCACTAGACTGTGGCAGCAAGGAACACAAATATTCCTGCTTCATACATCTTTGCGACCCAGGGTAGGTATTTGTTAAAAATAATCCTCTGTGGCACGGGGAATAAAGCTGTTCAAACTGCACTGAAAAGGCAAAAATAAGTATTTGAATGAGCAGGCATATCTGAATTCTAAAATAAATTATAATTTTCACGGAGTTAATGACTCATATGAAATAACCACTTTTTTCCCACTTCACTGAAGAAAGACCAGGTACAGGCCACCAACACTGTATAGCGAAAATGTTATTGTGAAAAGGAAGAAATAAATCCCAGGGTACACATTAAGTGATTGCTTTATATTCATTTGTTAGCTTAACCCTTCCAAAAACATCCCACCCGCTTACTGGAAGGTACAACTGTCAAACTCCAACATCCCTTTATAATCGCCTGTGTTTACCAAGACAGAGGCCACAGTCCTGAACAGGTAAAAGTACCAGTGAGAAAAAGGGTTCCAGGGAGCCCGAAGATTGGGGCTGCTCTCTGAGGGGGTACAAGCAGGAGCTGAGGGCGGCCCCGGCGCAGGCTACACCCGTGCTGCCCAGGGCGCAGTCACAGAGTGTCTGGAGATGGCAGGCGGAAACTGGGGCTGGCAACAGTCCACCCACAGCCCGAGACGCGGTAAGGGCCAAACTGGTCCGGGGTCCTTCCAGGGAGTCCAGGCAGGAGCAGCAGGAGACAGGGCTGGAGAGAAGGTTACGGCGCAGTTTCAAGGTCCACGCGGGAGACAGGTACCCCCACAGATGCTGCTCAGGATAATTAAGGACAATCAGTGCCCTCACAGCCCTAAAAGAGTATCATTTACGTAGAACACCCTCTAGTACAACGTACACGTTTAAACAAAGTGCTGGTGGTATGAAAAGCCTCATCGAGGACAGTAGGGCTGTTTCTAGACTTTGGCCTGTTTATTACTGTCGTTTGAGTTTTTTTGAAACTTGTGCTTCTGGTTGATAATGTGAAATTACCTGAACAATTATGAGGCTATTAATAAACAGGAAAAGCAAGCCTGCCAACCATACAAGTAAAAAAGTGTTATATCCCTTGAACTCCAGAAAGTACGCAGGGGCAAGCCACAGGCCTTGTCCAGCAAACCAGAGAAAGAGGAGCAGCACGGCACGCTGCCAGGTCATCTTAACCGTTGGCATTATGAGGGGCAAAAGGCAGAGATACCAGACAAAGTACTGGGATGTGCATACTTTGTTAAAACTCACAAAAATAGCCGTGTGTAGGAAACAGCAGAAGGCAAGGTCTCTGTAAAACGCTACGGACACCACCAGGAGCAAAAGAAGCTGGGGCAGGAAAGCTGCGAGCCCCAGGGCAAAACTCCACTCGCTCTCTGCAGTTAGGTACAACATGTAGAAATAGGGAGAGAAGTTATGCCGGATATCCCTCCTGGTCAGGTGGTAGAGGTAGGCCTGCTCCAAAAACTCCCAGCCATAGAGGCGATAAAATGCAACGGTCAAGGCAGCCAGCACAGACCCCGCAACCGTTCCAAAAAGCAGCGCATCGCGGTTCAGCGCCTGTGCAAGAAGGCGCCAGGGGTAGGCCAGGGAGGTACACTTGGCTTTGCTGCCTGCCCCCGCCGTGCCCGCCGCCCGGGGCCCGGCGCCCCGCCGGCCCCGCAGGTGGAGCGCGATGGGCAGCGCGTAGCTCAGGGGGTACATCTTCATGTGCACGGCCAGCCCGTAGCAGGCCGCGGCCTTCCCGACGCTTCCCCCCTCCGCGAAGTACAAGGTGGCGAGCACCAGCAGCGCGACCAGGGCCTCGGCGTTGCCCCGGGTGGAGACGGCCATGGGCAGCGGGTTAAGGAGCCAGGCGGCGGTCAGGCACCCGCAGGCCCGGCCGGCGGCCGCCCCCCGGCGCCGCAGGGCCCGGTAGGCGACGGCGGCTGTCGCCAGGTCGCCCGCCACGAAGAGCAGCTTCCCGAACACCTCGGCGAGGCAGACGTTGGGCGTCAGCAGCCAGGCCAGGAGCGGGGTGTAGCGGTAGGTGGCCCGTCGGTAGGGCGACCGCCCCTCGCTCACCAGCCGCGCCGCATCGGTGAACACCCGGTAGTCGACGTCGGTGTACCGCACCCGCATGGCCCCGTCCTGGTGCAGGCCGTACAGCACCAGGCCCAGCCTCGCCAGCAGCGCCGCGCCCAGCGCCGCGCCCACCCCCGCCGCCATCCGCCCGCTCCCAGCCGCCGCCGGTGTGGGGGGGTGTGTGTGGGGGGGTGTGATGTTGGGGGGGGGGGGCACCGCTCCGCGGCGGCCGAGCTCCGTCCCGGCTTCCGCCGCTGCGCTGAGGGGATGGAAAGGCGGGGAAGGCTGCGGCACTGCGCATGCGCTCGCCCGCCGAGCGGCGGCGCCTGCGTGCTGAGGGCGCCGAAGCCGTTGCCCGCGGTGGGGCAGGGACGCTGCGGGCGCTGAGGGGAGCGGTGTGGGCCTGGTTCCTCTCCGTGCCCACAGGCCGCGGGCCGCAGAGCGCCCCGCCGTCCGGGGACACCCGCCTGCGGCCTCGCGGGGGCGGTGGAGCGGAGCGTGGCTGTTGCTGGTCGGTCCCGCCGCGCCGGCCGAGAGCCTTGCTCATGGGTGGGCACCTCTGGGGAGGGGGGGCAGGTGCTGCTGCTGCCGCTGCACCCTCGGGAGGGCCGGGAGCGGCGCGAACGGTGAGGGTCTGTGGGCAGGGAGGCAACGTGCGCAAGGGGAGTTCAGTAACAACAAAAAGGGAAAATAACACGTGTTATTTACCTCCCGCGAATGGCTGTGTTTTGCCTAGGCGCGTGAGCTCTCCCTGAAGGGCTTAGGTAAGCGTCCTTCCACAGTAAGTTTCTCATTTACTTAGATCAGGAACAGTACCGCGGAAATCGGAGCTTAGAGTTATTTACAACAAAGAAATTAACCCCGCTGTGCTTTGAGAGTTTTTTTGGTATGTTTTTCAAATAGTGTTCCTGTCTCGATATTTGCTATAGATAGTATCTCACGTTTTAATTGTGGCTGAGTGAAAACCAGGTATTTTTTTACTTACCAGTATTGTGGGTTTCATATTAGAACTGAGTAGGGTTTATTTAGAGATGCTTTATTAATCAAAAAATGTGCATTTTCTTATTTAGTAGTGAATTGCAACTGCATTCTTCCTGCCGAGTGGTTTCATTCGGGAACATTTTGGGAGCTGCAGTGCTGCTGGCTCGATTTGCTTACAGGAAAGAATCTACTTTTCCTCTGTTCTGGGGACACCCGTCAGAGAACTGGGAGCAGATGTTTTGCGTTTGGCACAGGAGTCTTGGAGGGTGTCCTAACTGGTAGGCTGTTCAGGGGACAAAAGATATTTCTGTTTGTGTGCACACAGCTATTCATTTTTATCTGTCAAGACTGTGTTACTTTGCATAATAATGTAATGCAGTATAGGCTGTGGTGTCCAGTGGGGGAAATATAGTAGCTAACTAACCTGTTTTTCCTCTGTCTGTACAGGTTACCAGATACTTACATATTGTATACTAAACTGGACATCTGAAACAGTAAAGCTCCAGAGACTTCTCCATTAACTCACCAGATGACATCATGAAGTTCTAAGACTGATGTTCAGGGTATTTTGGGGATAAGGCGTGAGAGTGGTTGTTGCTCCTTTCTAAATAATTGCTTACTCACTACTGGTGTTCTACTTTAGAACAGGAAAGATTGGTAACATCATTTCATCCCCTTCCTTTGTTTCTATATCTTGTACCATAATGGGTGGGATACTTCTACAGAAGATTACGTCACCTTATCCTTTGTTGTGCCCAAGATACCCTCTGGAAATGCTATGAGTTAGAAACTTAATAAAATCCATGGAACTATAAGTCTAAGCAAAAGTATACATGCAGATACTCCTAAATTTTTTGTTTCAGGAAGGTTATTGCTCACAAAGAACTGTTCTTGCCATCTGCCTACTTTCTCCCAGGATTGTTTGCAATAATTCTGTTGCCTCTTTGGATGGAATGTGTTTTATTATTTCAGCTCCTTTGAGAAAACTTTGTTGTCAGAATAGAATGCATTGCAGTTTTTTTGCTGAAGTGTCTTAATGGTATTGGTTAAATAATACTAGTTTAATAAATAAACATAGGAGTTTGCAGGTTTGTCGAGTGTTGTTTTTTTTTTTTTGTCTGACAGTCTGTTTTCAGACAAATCTTTTAGTATCACGTGAAGTTAATAGGAGGTGCGAAGCTGTCCACGGTGACCATCTGGATTCTAAAGAGGAAAAGGTAGGTAATTTAATTTTAAAGGGTTGTGAAGCTAATAAAACAGAAAAGGTACCTTAGTTATTGTTGCTTATACTGTGGCTGTTTGACATTGCCTGAGCTGGAAAAATAATTGATTTTCCCTGTCAGTAATTTAACAACTTGAAGATAAGCTTGAAGCTCTTCAGAGAATTAAAGTTTGGCTCAAAAACATTTTTGGATTCAGATTTGATACCAGCTTGCTTAACCTGATTTGTCATGTACTGTAGACTTTAATGCAGGAAGGAGGGCAGTCTTATTAAAGTTATAAATCTGTTGTTTCTGTAAAATGCTGCTTTTATTTATACAAGGCACCAGGAGCCACTTCTAGAAACTGCTAGATGATAAAACTGCTAGGAGATAGAACTGCTGGGACTGAAGCTGATTGATTCTGGTGCAGATGACTATACAAACGGTATGAAGAAAAGTGTCGAGTCAGTCATAACCATGCATAAAATATTAAGTAAATAGGAATGCATATATGCATATATATATATATATATATATATATGCACGTGTGTGTAACAGGTTTTTTTTCCATTACCTACCTTGCATTTGTTTTACACAGTCTCAAACATGGTACCATCAGATGTTTTATAAACTGGGGTCACACCTATATGTGCTTCTGTTGCATACTCATGGTGGGAGATCATAAGCCTGATCCCAAATGTTTTCTCACATCATCATCTTCTGTAATAGAGAGTACTTCAGCTCCACCAGGACATAGATTCCAGAAACTCTCTCACATGCCCTGCCGTTACTTAAGATTTACACAGCAGTAGTAACAGTGCAAGGACAATGAAACTGGGGTGCTGTTACGCAAAGTGCTCTAAGGCCTAATGGAAGTTTTTACCACCTGAAACACAAGGCACAACCGGAGGGTGACAGCTGGTGAGTGAGGGAGTGACAAGCTGGTACCTGGCCAGTCAGGAGCAATCATCACAGTTGGTCGTGTACTTGCCTTTCAGGGATGTGCTATCTGTGTTATGGTAGAAGGTTGGTTTTGAGTAGGAATAAGCTGAGGCTGCTTTAATTGATGAACAAAGGTAAATGCATGGCTAAAAGCTAGATCTGATGGATGCAGTAGGGCTACAGATTGGAGGGACTAACAGACTGCATTTAACACCTTGGAGGAGAATAAGGATGGTAGTGAAGGGGTGCGAAGAAGTTGACAATGAATTAGAAGATGGTTCTGGTAGCAGTGCTTTGAAGTAACAAGGGAGACGTGGTGGTTGGTAGCAGTGCAAGGGAAGAGAGAACAAGTGTTGGGTTGCAGCAGTGAGAGCCTGACTAAGATTCAGGTGACCTAGAAGGCTAAACAGGCTTAAACATCTGAAAATTTATGGAAGAAAGAGCATTAAGAGGCTTCATAGGAGGAAGGCAGTCGGAGGCTCCTTTCACATCCTGTATTTTAGCTCATTCTACTGCGATCTTGGGGTGAGGCACTTCTCATGCAAGTCTCTTCTGCAGTTGCCTAATTGTTAATGGCTGGCTACACTTTGAGATTTTGTTGTTGAGTTAGGAGATAAAATTTGATCATAATGACTAATACATTTTTTTTATAAATTGACTTATTGCATGTGTGCTGTGACGTAAGTCTGTACATATAAAAGGTTGTAGGAAAGTTGAGTATTTAAGATATGTAGGAAGGAAGGTCTTGGACAGTAGCTGGTATATGGTCTTGAGGCTTCTGAATGGAAAGACTGTTCTGCTGTAATTTATTAGAGTTGCCTTTTAATTTTCTTGGGTTTTCAACCCAGAATGTTTCCTTACATGAGAAATACTACTGCTTAATATATTTATAAACTGACAGTACATTTTTGATAAGGTGATTAGTACAATCTGTTTTTGCAGCACATGAAATTTGGTTGAAAAAGTGACTAACACTTATGTTACATATTTTGGGCTTGGTAAAATAAATTGTTTTTGCAATTATGATTGATGCCTTTCAAATATTTGTAGTGTGTTGAACTTTCCTTTTGCCAATAATATCTATACTTAAGATTATGTAATGAAGTGTTATTTTCTGCTTTAATATTGGCATGAGTAATACAGGAGGCTTTGCAAAAATAAGATGAAAAAACACATTAGAACTCTTCACAGAATAAATTCACTATTATAAATATAAGGCCAGCACTATTCCCTTAAGCTTTTTCTGTTAATGTGTTTACTTAAAATGGCTTGATAAATCTCTACCCTTATTCACACACTGTGCTAAAAATGTGGCTATTCAGAGAATGTGATCTGACTTGTAAAGGAATTTTTTCTCCCCACATTATGGTTTTGCACAATATCCTTCAAGTGGTGTTTGCAGAGTTCTGCTTGCAGTGGTTGTGCTGATTGTATGTCAGTGTATTAGGTAAAACGCTAGCCCTTCAGGGGAAAATAAGTACTGGATAAAAATTAGTCTGTAGGGAAGCCTGTTAAAAAATTAGTATTTCAGAAAAAAAGACTGGCTGAGAAAACAGATGCAGCACGTTAGTCAGCAAGAAGTCCACTGAAGTATGATGCTGGCCTAAGGAGAGATTCCAAAAAATATGGCCTGTTTTGATTTACGGCTGTGGTGTGTCTGAAGTGTGATACTGTAAAAAGGAGTTACCTGCTTCTAAGCTGGGCAATGCCTGACTTGAAATGCCAAACAGAAATGCTTTACCCCTGTTCACATTACTGCTATGGCACAAGCTAATGGGGCAGGCAGCTGAGGGGGTTAGGATTCCCGAAGTGGGAGTGTACAACAAAGAAATGAGTTGAATTTCCTCTGCTTTTGTTTTGGTCTATTCTCTTATGCTAACGAAAGAATGCATAGAGAGAACTGATGAGAGCCCAGGCAGGAGAGAAACTGGAGCCAAATGGCAAATTATGGATTTAGGACATCGTTGGAAGGTGGAGGGTTCCTGGCCCAGGACTGCTGGTTCTGACCACTGAGCAGAGCCCAACAACACCCAGAAAGTGTGAGTTCCTAGCACCTGTGAAAGGCTAAACCTGATTGTGTTAGGCATCATTTCTTACCAATGTTTGAAGGTGTAAGTGAAGCAATAGGTATTGAGAACTGGTGAGGTCTCTGTTAGAGGATTTTGTAGACATGCATATACTAATACTATATATGTAATGTATATTTATATATGTAAATTTGTTACATATATGTATGATAAGCATACTTAAGGAGTAATAGCTGTGTCTTTCTGAATGTCCACATTTTAAAATCAATTTAGATACCTCTTTCTGTCTGAAATGTGGGGTAGTGGAACTTGAGAATATGAGATGTAAGGGATCCATCCTCTGTTCAAGCAATAACTTGCGTGACCCTTTATAGAAGTGAGGAAATTAGATTTTGCATGTCAACATCTGAGATGCTGTTGGCTCAAGAGCCGTTACCCATCAGTGCAGCCAGCCATAAGTGTCCTAAACAACATTCAGTCACAATACATGACTTTTTTAAGTGATTAAGGGAAACATTTTTGTGTATTTTTAGTTTGTACCTACTTAATTGTTTTCCAGTTCTTTGGAGAAGAAAGAGACAAAACTTGGAATGTATTTGTTTCAGTCTTCTCACACAATTCTTTTATCTCATAAAGGACAGCCTGTAGCTAGCAGGGCAGTAGGGAGGGAAATGTATCTTCAGAGCCCAAGTCAGACCACCACCTCCTACATCTGTGTGATCTCCACTAATACCCATTTCCTGAGATTGTCTTGAGATACATGAGTGAGACACAAAACCGTGTTCTGAATCTCTGGTCTTGTTTTTTAGATTGACAGCTAGACATCAAGTATAGAAAGATAATCGCCTCAGCCTCTGCTACTGAGCTTGTTTATTTCCTAACACTACTTTGAGAGCAGATGGGACATACACATGAAAAATCACAAGAGGTAATCATCAATAATTTGTTTAGAAATAGGTCTGAATTACTTTGGCTCAGTGGCTGAAGTAATAAGTTATTTAGGTGCAGAATTCTGAGCTGTAACTCGCAAGTTACAGGAGCTGTGGTTGAGGCCAGAAGTTTATCATCATCTGTTGAAACTGGAACGCAAACCACTTCCGTGGGTAGCTGAACTGTCGAAACTTGGCCTCTTCTAGCTTAGGTGACATTTGGGTTCCATGGGATCCAACAATATAAGAGTTTTGATCAAACCTCCTGAGGAAGAAGCAGCCATAGCACCTCTTAGTCTTTCTCTTCTCCTTCCCTGGACTTACTTTCCCTTAATTTCCTAGTTAAGATACTGTTTGTGCTGCTGCTTCTCCTGTAGTAGGGAGATTCTATTTTACCCAAATGCCTGTTTTCATAAAGTTGGTGGGAATTTAATCTCTGAATATTGTTCAGTGTTATGCTGATGCTGTCGAGGTGGGGGAGACAAACCCAGGTTTTACAGACTTACTGTGCCCAAAGTACAAGGAAGCAATTCTGATTAATGAGTCTCTAATGTCTAGCAGAGGGCCTTAACCTGCCACAGCTCCATTTCCAGCCACTTGAGTGTCTTTCCATGCTGTGCTCTCCTCTCTTAATCTCCTGGTTAAGAGGACTAAAATAAGAACTAGTGTTATGACAACACATAGTAAAAACAAAACACAGTGGAAGGCAAAGGAATGACAGATATGGAAGGCAAATAAAAAAATAGTATAATCCTCTCTTATAAACAATAGGTTCTGTGGAAAAAGGTGAGATGTGATTTATTTGCTATTACAAGTTTGGTCAATATCAAGAACTGTGTGGCCATAACAGAATTCTGTATATTACTTGGTATGTTTTGTTTCAGTGTAACCAGAATAAGCAATAAGATTAAGCATGTAAATTTGTTAAAAACTACAGCTTATTACTAGCAAGTTCAGATACCATTTTTTAAGAGTTTCTGCTGAAAAAAAT